ACGATCTTTCCGGGTAGACCACAGTTTTTAAGAAGATTCTATGAGGTTCTTCAATCCATGCTGTCAAATGCCTTCTCATGGTTAATGAAGTTGGTGTATGGTGGCGAGTTCCACTCAACTGATTGTTCAACAATGATTCGTAGCGTCGCCATTTGATTTATGCACGATTGATCCTCACGGAATCCGGACTGATAATCTCGAAGCTGTGCGTCTACTGAATCTTTCATCCTGTCCAACACACTCTGTTGAAAAGTTTTTCTGATACTGACAGTAGCGTGATGCCTCTGTAGTTTTCCCATTTGCTCAGATCTCTTTTTTATAGGAATTCTGATGAGATATCATTCTTTCCAGTCTGTCAGTGGCACTTGTTCTTCCTCCAAAATCTTCCTGAATAGAAAGTGCAGCATCTTTGCAGTTACTTCTATGTTTGACTTCCGTGCTTCAGCTTGTATGTTCTTTGCTCCAACTTCTGATTTCTCACTATTGATTTGTCTGATTTCCATTTTGATTTCTTCGATTGTTGGTGGAGTGGCATCAATAGTAAGGCCTGTAGATGCTGCTTCGATATCCGGTGGATTCAATGGAGCTGGTCTACTCAAGAGTTCCTCAAAGTGTTCCACCCATTGGTTCCTCTGTTCTTGAGTCTCGGTGATTGTCTTGCCTTCTTTTTCCTTGATCGATCTCTCTAGTTTACTATATTTCCCTTATAGTTTCTTTGTTGTGTCATATAACTGTCTCATATTTTCACTCCAAGCTTTGTCCTTTGTCGTTGCTGGCTCTTCCACGTAATTTTTCTTGTCAGCTCTGATGCTCTTCTTCACTTGCTTCTTTGTTTTTGTGTATTTAGCTTGTGCCTTGACTTTCTCTGTTCTTGTTCGGGGGTTGTTAATTGCTGTCTTTTTGTTAATTTCTTGAATCCAAAACAGAGTTCCGATAGGTATTTATTCCTTATAGTGATGGTTCTTGAGTCCAAGAACCTCTTGAAACGTTGAAGTTAGTACTTCTTTGATCCCTTTCCAATTGTTCTCCATAGTAGTTCCCTCTTTTTCCTTGAATATACTTTGTAAAGCCTGGAATTTGTTGCTGAGAGATATCTTGAACTCATTGAGTTTGACAGTATCTTGAAGAATCTCCGTAATGCTGTTTCTCCAGTTGTTCAGTGCTTCTTTAGTTTCAGCTTCATCTTGGCAACCACCATTTTGTGGTGAGCTGAAAGTATGTCAGCTCCTCTCTTGATTCTCAAATCCTCCACTGACCTTCTGAATCTCTCAGTGATGCAAATATGATCGATCTGATTCTCTGTAGTGTGATCCAGTGATACCCATGTAGCCTTATGTGTGCGTTCGTGGGTGATTATACTGCCATCTGTAATCATTTTGTTGAATGCACGTAAATTCGCAAATCTGTCACCATTCTCGTTTGTTTCTCCTAGTCAGTCCTTGTCATCCTATGAGTTCTTGATACCCACTGTTGTCCATTCCGACCTTGACGTTTAGGTCCGCGATCAGAATGGTCAGGTCGTTTCCTGAGCATTACTCTTCGGTCGATTGCAGCCTTTCAGAAAACTAACCTTTGTTATTTTCGTTGCTATCAGTGGTGGGTTTTTAGTGGCTCAAGATCTGACTCCAAGTAGATCGTTTGCTGCATATTATCAAAATGTGCATTTGGCCGATCCTCGTATATAATCATCGACTTAAATCACGTTGGTGAATGACAGAATTTAATAAGTCAAATACGAGAATGCATTTTAAATACTTATATTTCATACAATCGTTGATTGGAAAGCGAAGCAAAACACAATGACGCACAATGGAGAATGTGAGTGAGCCAACTCGATTTAATCATGTGTTAATCGATATTTATAGTCAGACAAAGATAAGTTAGAGACATGTAATGAGTCAGATACGAAATGAACACACACACGTTTACATAAAAAACAGTAAAGGTTGATAAACGAATAGATGACAAGGTCAAAATGTGGTTTGAAGAGAATGAATAGACTGGTCTATCCGGAAACTAGAATAACCCATGTGGGCTCGACATAGGACCAGGCACTGCAGGAGCATAACATTGAATGCGTTCATTGTGACCCCCTAGTGTTTTGTTTTGAAGAATGTTTTGAAAATCCCTGATCCATAAGATTCCCATTCTGGGTTCTTTTAAAAATTCTTTGGATAGTATCAGCGCAACTCTTTGGGTGTATGAAGCATTTTCTTCATGACCAAAGTACAACAGCCCTTTTCCCGAATCTATCCTTTTCTGTCCAGTTTCGGTCCGATAGGTATCACTGATTCCGGGCACCGTCAAGTTGTATCTCCTCATTCCTGTTGCCATTTGACTGGTCCTCCTAGTCTCCCGAATTGTTCGGACATTCCATCTACCTATATTAATTGTTGTTCTGGTTGTTAGAAGAGGTGTCGACCTCATGACTTCTGTGGAATCTTGGCTTTCACTATGAGGTGTCATAATTGCTCCAAATGAAAGTCGTACAACTTGGAGGGCAGAGTTTAATTTTTTGGTTAGCGTTTACTTACCAATTTGTTTTGTACGGGATAAGGTTGGTGACAGCATGCCCGACTTTCCTCTTTTGTGTGGGCTTGGGACCGCTAGTAACTCTAGAAGAGCTACAGGCGGAGTTACAGTTCGACATAGGACTACCTACGTTAAAAAACTAATTTAATTAATTCCAGGTAGCATGGATGGTAGTTTGGTGATCAGTGAATTGATATAAATTCAGTTTATTATACTCACTACAATCACATACATAAATTAAACTATTTCATTAATTGTTCTTATTAGATTTGTTGGTACATTAAGTAACATGTAATTCATTAATAACAGTACTAGATAATTATATGCCGAGGTTGTCCATCTGTCAGAAACTTCAACATTGTATAACTTTCATTACAAATAGAATAAATAAATTCTAGTATACATGTGGTATATTCTATACTTAATGATCATTTACATTATTATAAATTTACCTATATATTTTACTAGAATAAAGTGATATACTACAGTGAACAAAAGAATTTTTATGCACATAGACAATTCTTACTGATAATAAGATTTTGGTCTGATACTAAAGCCGAACCTACATGAACACCAGGATTAGTGCTAAATTCAAAACTACTTTAATTTGAGTGTCAAGAATCAATTACTAATTGTCTTAGTTCTAATTCGTTTCAGTTTATATTTTTAGGTGAATGGCCTAAATCGAACGTGAATTTAGTGGAATGTGAACAATGGGATTATCACCTAAGTTAGATATTTAAAGTAAAGTAAGATGTGGCTACCGGTGCGATTTCGTAGTTCAACCCCTAAAGTAGTTACCTAACCAGATTATACTTTAATCAAATAGATCAATACTAAATAGTTCAACCTACGTCGATTTAATTAACAAAAGTACATTTATCAGAATGGGTTTTGTGGAGACTTTTAGAAATTTCACAAGTTGAAATCATGAGCCAATTGAAGCTAGACCACCATGGAAAACCTGCTTCCAGGTTTTCCATGGTGGTCTAGCTTCAATTGGCTCATGATTTCAACTTGTGAAATTTCTAAAAGTACATTTACTTTAGTAAATATTTATTTCATTTTCCTAACTGACTTAATTGACTGATTATACTAAATTTTATGATGGATCGTGTTATGGATGCAGAATAATGTGCCAATCATTATCATGTTAAGCTTAGTGATGTCCTTGGACGTTAAATAGACATTTCCTATTGTCCATTATTTATTTCATCCCTTAAATATTGTACAAATGTTGTTTTCTATTTTTATGGTACGATGTGGTATGTTTGGTTAGTATATAAATAGAGTATATCTGAAATACAATGATTCATATCTCAGAGGTTGTGACTTGTGTTCTGGACTCAACTGACTGGGCTAGACAGGGAAGCGAGACCAATCGAGACTCTAGGCCGTCCGTACGTGTTTATGTGTCATTGAATCGATCGATAAATACTCTGCTCTCTAATTTTCCAGTCAAGGACACAACAATTAGCACAGGGTAAAATCGACCCAACTTAAAGTCATAACAGATCGCTTATTGATAACTAACACCACAAATCATTTATTCATTATCTCAATATTACTGACTACATTCATAATATCGATATTATTGACAAGTCCATACATAATCATCTTAAAAAATTCATTCTAGATTACCGATTGTAAAGCTTGGAGAATGCTGGGGCCGAGAAGTAATCTCTCCGCCGAACCACTGTACCTAACTTTTGCGACAAAGTAACGTATGTGTTAAATGAGACCAATTCGTTATTTTGTTTAAGTATACTTGAAGCAAAACTTTATTCTTAGCAGTGATAAAATTAAACAATGAAATTTCTTGCCTTTGTTACTGATTATAATGGTTTGTTTCTCAATATGTATATTACTGCTGAGATCTATGTACATTCTACTGGAAAGTATGAGATGAGAAGAAACGCCGGTAGGGGTTATCTTCATAACAATTCTCATTTACATGCACTATATATGATCATTCGGCTGTATTTACAACTGGTCATCCTTTAACTGATAGGGATTTCGATAAGTTTTTGTAGATTGCTTCACAATACAAAACGACACGTATTTACTCCTTTTTAACCCATTTTCTGAGTTGGCATAAGTTAGTTCCCACAATAAATATCAGTATACATATTATAAATTGTAAGTTGCATGTAGATTATATACATCGATTTGTCCAACTAATTTTTAAACTTTTGACCATCAGTCTTTTAATAATAATTGTTTTAATAAAACATTATATATATATATATATATATATATATATATATATATATATATATATATATATATATATATGCAAATATGTAATACGATAAAATGACTTTGGATGTAAGTAAATCGAATAGAAATGATGCTAAATAGGTGTCCAGTTGATTTGAGCTATGACCATCAACTTTTATTACTAACAGTCACATAAACGGTTTATTTACAGAGAAAAATATAAATTAAGCTCAAAAAGTAATTAATATAGATATATCAATTTATTCCTCATATATTTCGGTTTAATTTGCAAAAATGAAACACCGAATTCATAATATATATATATATCGAAGTATGTATTTATTTGGCCGCAAGTTTTCTACGAAACGTATTTGAATACATTTTAGCCTGTGAACATTCTCTGTTGTCAATAGAGTCCAGTTTATTAACTGAACAACTCATAAATGAAACTTCACAGCTTCTACATGAATTACAAAGTTTCTTCAATTCTTCAATGCCACTATAAGAAGATGAAATGACCCTTTCGTTCAGACCTATTAAGTAAAATTTAAAAAAAAACAAGTATCAATAGAGAAACACAAAGTTAGGCGAAACATAGGAACTGTGGCTCATTTAAAGACCATATTTATGACGAGAATTTCAGTGAACTTGAATAATTATGTAAGTTCTGCTTAAAATTTTTACTGATGAATAGAAATACGTACAATATGGGAATATCAACTATTTTCTTCTAGTTTCCCTTGAAAACATGTGTCACTATGCCTTTTTGTCAAAAATACTGTGAATTATTGTGGCCGAAAAACTATATTTGACATAGTCATTTATTTAAATAGACTATCGGGTGTTCATTGCTTTCTCTCTTTCGGTGATTTTTCATTTAGTGTTATGAAAGCCCACCATTGGGATTCAAACCGTTTATTAGGTTAGGTTGTAGTGCATTTGCTCAAATCATGCGAATTAATTTTGCAGATCTCTGAAAAATTTAAGATATTGCACTAATAATGAGTTAATCCTTGGTTTCTGATCTAAACTACTAAAATTATTACTACCATCAGATTATAATAAAAATCACATTCAATCTTTATATATCTCTACAAATCACCTAAATTAATAATCGATTGGTTTTTTCTAAATAATCGATAGTCTAAGGACTAGTAGAAATTCTAAAAAAAATGAAATCTATTTGCGTATTCTAGCACTTACCAAGACAACGCTTTGAAATTAAAGCGGAAAGCAAACAATGTCTAAATAATACTTCTAGCCGTTTTGTACAAGCTGAATACGAAGATGAATTGGTAATAACAAATTTGACTAAGAGTATCAATAGGATAACATTAATCTAAATTAGAATATGGATTCATATAATTATTAAGCAATTATAAGAAATATAACATAAAAATATTTTATCACTTGAACTTAGAAAAATATAAGAACATAATAGTGTTAAATTGTGACTACTGAGAAGCTCCTAATTGTCATGTAATTTATTCTTTAATTAATCATCTTTTGTATATACATCAAAATTATTTTGAATAGAATTATTCAAACAAATAAAATTACTATTATCAGAAGGGGTTTTGTAGACATTATTGTAATTTTAATAGTTGAGGTCATGAATGAAGCTAGACCACCATGGAAAACCTGGAGGCACCGTACTGCTGTTTCGTCCTGATGTGGGACTCCTCAGCAGTGCGCATCCACGATCCCATCTCGCGAGATTCGAACCCAGGACCTATTGGTCTCGCGTACAAACGCTTAACCTCTGGACCACTGAGTCGGCATCTGGTAATGTTAATGTCTAACTTCAACTAATCCACGAAATTGAGAGACACATCCACCATTGTTTTCAGTGAGTTACTATCTCACAACAGTACTACTGTATTAATGGTTCTAGTAATATGATCCAGTTATTAACTCTTAAAAATTGGTTTCCTATAACATATTTAAAAAACAAACCAGATGAACTTGTAAAAACTTACTTCTGTGATTACTTTCCGATTTATGTATAAAAACTTGTGATATCTAGATATTTATATCATCATTGATTAGTTAATCACCGAATAAATTGTTGATATTAAAGAGAAACTCTGACTTTAATTATTCTTTTAATAGCTTCAGTTTGAATATGATGATGTCTGTCAAAATTCAATCGTTTTATGCAATAATGTATTTTAAACTATACTGAATGTGGAAAATATTACCAAATGATTTATAAAGACCATTTACTTTGAATAGGCTTATAAGTATCCTGTTAGTTGGTTATAACTTTTGAAATTGTAACATCAACATTAATTATAATGTTTTTTGCGACAAACTATATACTCAATGAAGTGAACTCAGACTAGACTTTTGAAATTTTCACTGCACCCTCTTATTATCAATCTAAAAGTAAATTATTTACCAGAGTCTTAGTTGGATAAAATAACCTCGTGATTTTTAGAATATTATGGTCAAATATTTGAACCTTCATCTAAATTTGATCTAGTAGTTTCATAAATTTGGGCGCCGAGTTTATGTGAGACATTAAGGAGGAATAATGTATTTGTAAAATCTCAGAGAATGAATTTGAAGTAAATCCAACGTTTCATCTGGCAATCTGGTCCAAGCTTTTTCAAGGAATTATAATCAAATATCAAAATTATCGAGTATAAATAAGTACATAATTCTCTGTTAAACTATATACTTATTAGGTCATCCAATCAACGTTAACAATGTTTAAATTAGGTATTTGTTTTAGTGTGTATGAACATGTGGTGTGAAACGAGAAGTGTGTTTAGATGATGTGTGTACGTAAGTGATGTTAGAATAAATTTCATTCACTATATATTTGGTAAAAACTTAGTTCTGAATCATCCAGAAAACTGTAAAAGTATAATAGAAATGACAGATTGTCGACTTTCTTCATAACCCATTGCATTGACACCAGTTAGTCGGTTCAATTGTAATTACTCCTTTGTTTTTTTTATTTACTTATTATTTGATTGACTTCTCAATTGTCTTGCACAGACTTTTTCATTAAGGTGTTTTATAACTCAAACACAAAAATACTGATAAATTTAACCAATGCCTAGTTATATATATATATATATATATATAAACCACTTGAAAGTAGTATAAATTACAAATTGTAACCGTAATGAGAATAACCGGATACTGGATTTAGGCTTTAGGAATCGAAGTCAAGATTAAAAACGGATGCCCATTGATGACAATGAATGATGCTCACACTGTATTCCAAATATAATGAATCTTTGAAACACAGGTAGTAAAATTTCAACTCAACAACTAGATGGTTCCGTTCCCGCGTTACGGCTTAAGTATGTGGAATATTGTCCTGTATAAAGTTAGGAATGTAATCTGCTAAGATTTCGCTGGCTAAGAGAACATAAATATCCAGTGCTTTCAAGATTTGAACGATTTTTCATCTGGTGTTATTTTGTGACAGAAAATGTCGAGTTCATACAAGCCACATATGTAAATAATCATAATGTTAATCTCTTGCCAAAACACGACTCACCTTACTCGAGACGGACATAGTTACAGTTTAACATTAACTCGTTTGATTAAAGATATCGATTGTAC